ATGCCTGATCGTTGATATGAATGATGAGGATACTTGACGTGGCATGATCCTAGCGGTTGTCAAAGAAACACAAAACTTTGTGCCCATTAGCATAAATCTGACACTGTTCCCTCCCCTTTCTGCATCGATCCTTGCCCTTTTTGATAATCATCTCTTTCTCAAGCCCTCACAAATTCCCAGCGATTCTCAGAATGTCTATGAACGACATGCTCCCGGATTCTCTTCTCAACCTCTTGGCCTTCTGCTGGAGGTCTGATCATCCGGCGATCTATTCTTCAAACAGAGCGTTGCAATCCATCGATAAGCATGCGCTTTTCAATTTGAGGAAAGCGAACAATCTTGTAGAGCACTGGTTCCTGATCTACGACACCGATGGTTCATGGTCCGTCTTCGACCCGTACAAGAATGTCTGGCACACGCTTCCACAGATGCCATTCCCACCTTTGACAGTCTCCGATGACGTGACGGTAATGTGCGTTGAAGCCGATTTACTGTTCTGTGTGTACAATGGGGGCAGCAATTTCATCAACAAATTCGAGCTTGTCACCAACAATTGGAGCCCAAGCGCCGGGATGACTGTCTCGCGAAATCTATATGGCTGGGCAGTTGCGGGAAACTTGGCTTTGGTAGCCGGTGGTGCTGATTCGAACACGAAACCCTTGGCTGCAGCTGACATGTACGACTTCGACAGTGGACTTCAATTCGTCCCTTGAATCATGCCCGAAAAAACTGCGAAGGTGTTTTCAGTTTTGATTTATTATTCTCTTTGCGCTTGATTGATTCGTTTTTGTTAATAATCTCTGGAATTCTCGATCCATGTCACTCACTGTGTTTGTATTTTTGTTTCATAGCTGCTTTCGTGGACAACAAGTTTTACGTCTTTGGAGGCGAAGGAGAAACTGGCAACTTCTTCACAAGTGCTGAATTGTATGACATCGGCTCGAAGAAATGGTCCGTGGTTGAGAACTTCTTACCGGAGAATTTAGCCATGGCATCAAAATCCATCACTGTTGCTAACGGCAACATCTATCTAGCAACCGCGAGTACGGACCCAGATGGTGAGGTGTTAATGTACGACCGAACTTTTGGCGAATGGGTGTTCAAGGGGCTCTTCCCTTACGATTTGGTTCGGAAGACGATGGACTGCAAATTGTCGGTTTATAGGCCAGCAAGAGAGCAGTCCGTGGATCGGTTGGTGTTCATTGGCACTCGTATGGATCCACCCACAGGACAAATGGCAACGGAGATATATGCTGCGGAACCGGTGGAACCACTAGAATGGCAACTTTTGGGGTCAAAGACTGGATGGTTTGCGCCAAAGACTGGACTGGATGGTTATTATATTAGAAGTATTTTACCTTGGAACCAACAGAGATGGCGATGACGAAGATTCATTTGCCCATGGAAGAGGAGCAGGTTCACTGGCAGCAGACTTAGAAGCCAAAGGGCGTTGGCGAACGAAAGGGTTTGTTTATTCTTTTGAAGAGAAAAGTTGCCTTCGATTTCCATGGATTTTCATGTTCTGCAACACATACCAGAATATCATATCTCAGTCATCATTGCACTAGCAAAAGGAAAGAGTCACTTATGAGTACCATGCTTTGTCAAAAACAAATCCAAGGAAATAAACAAAGAACCTCAGTTCTCAGGGTAAGAACATCTTTAAGCTCTTTGGTAGTGTCCATCAGACGATTCTTTAGATTGTTGACAACTGTTGCTGAGTGAGTAGTTGCATCTCTAGAGATGTTCACTGCATCATTCTGGGAGTTTTGAACAACTTGAAGGTCGAGCAGAGCGGTATTTAGAGCAGAGATCTCTTGTTTGATTACGGCCGTCAACTCTTGTATCTCCTGGGTGGGATCATCAAAAACCGATGTCTTTTTTGCGACTGATTTACAACAAAACGACAAGTTAATTTAACTTATGCCACAAACAGCAGCCTCTTCCATCCTACTATAACAAGGAAACATTCCGAAGTATTATGCATTCTAAAAGTTTGCAAGATAAGCACTCGAGATATTCACACCACTAAACAAACTGATTCTAGGGAAACTAAAAAAGTTACATTTCCTGGTGGAGATGAAAACAATGAATACTTTAACCAAGAAGAGAGTGATCTTAGAGGAGTAACGCCATAGCCCAAGGGTTTATGTGAGGTATGCACAACAATAATGCCTCTGTGCAGGCATGGCAGTGGTGCCTATGCTGCTCAATTATAGCTTTTGGAATCATAATCTATGCAAATTATACCAGGGGTTACATCTTAATCTACGATTTAGATCAGCTTTTGTTTCAAAAGATCGTTCTAATTGCTAACCAGGGCATTACAGATTCACGGAATAACTAGCTAAATTATCCAGTTTCACGAGATCACTGAGCCACTAAAAACTTACGTTTAGCTAGCTTCGATAGCTTCTGCGATGTCTGGTAAATAGCGAGACCGATCTTAGAAGCTCTCTTGCCAAACTCCGATTGGTTAATCATGGCAGATCTCGGATCTTCTCTTCTCCCGTCGTCGCTTCTACCACTAACATACGGCACATTATTCGCCGCCGGAGCAATTGATCTCCTCATCCTTTCAACGATACCGAAGAATTCATCCGTCCGATCTCGATACGACGATTGCGCCATTTGCTGTTGGAGTGATGGGATGTTGAGGTGGAGTCTCTCGAGATGATAACAAAAAAAAACTTAGCACGGAAGTGATTAATCGTTGTTGGTCTTTTAAGTTTCAGGGTTTTAATAACTATGGGTGTTTGC